GTTATGCACAAACAATGAATCATGGAACACTTCATCTAAAACTAATGACGTAATGTATGGGGATTAACATAAGAATAAAAAAAAAAAAAGAAAAAAAAAAAGAAATCTGTCACCATTAGTCATGCAAATTCATGGCTTTAGAAAAGATCCATTCATGGGGGACCTGGGTGGCTCAGTTGATTAAGTGGCCGACTTTTTTTTTTTTATTATGTTATGTTAATCACCATACATTACATCATAAGTCGCCGACTCTTGATTTCAGTTCAGGTCATGATCTGAGGGGTTGTGGGATCAAACCCTGAATAAGGCTCTGAGCTCAGTGCAGATTCTGCTTGTCCCTCTCCCTCTGCACACCGCCCCCCCCCTGCTTGTGGTCTTTCTCTCTCTCTCTCAAATAAATAAATAGAATCTTAAAAAAAAGATCCATTCACAAAGTTAGTTTTGTGCAGAGGAAAAAGCATTTTATCTGGACATCTAGGAATTTATGAGAGTATATATCTTTAATGAATTAATAACTAATTAATATATTTATCTACTTTTCTGACACCTTTTATTTACCATTTTAAACATTGAGAATTTGGAAAAATGATACAATAAACACTCATATACTCTCCATCAGGAGTCAACAATTGTTAACATAGTGCCACATTAAAACACCTTTCTCAACTTATTTCCACACAAGGATTAAATTTTCTTGCTAAAACATATGATAATACGTGGTAGACATCATGACACTTCATCCTTCAATACTTTCTCGACAAATATTTGAGAATTCAAGGAATGTTCTCTACATAACCACAATACTATCATTATACCCAAGAAAATTAGCAACAATTTCATAATTACTTTCAATGTCTGATACATATTCAAATTATCCTAATTGCCTCCAAAATGTCATGGATAGTTGTGTATCTGAACAAGAGTCCCACTAAAATTGACACTGAATTTGTTTGTTATGTCACTTTCATTTCTTTTAATTCAGAGCAGCCTCTAGTCACTTTTATTTTTTCTAAATTTTATTATGTTATGTTAGTCACCATACAGTACATCATTAGTGTTTGATGTAGTGTTCCATGATTCATTGTTTGTGTATAACACCCAGTGTTCTAGTCACCTTTAAAAATGATATTTTAGACGAGGGCAGGCCAATTGTCTTGTTGAATGCCCATGTTCAGGATTTGCCTGATGGCTTCCTCATGATGTCATTTAAATTGTTTTGTCCCCTGTATTTCATAATATTGATAGTTAGGTCTAGGGCGCCTGGGTGGCTCAGTTGGTTAAGCGACTGCCTTCGGCTCAGGTCATGATCCTGGAGTCCCGGGATCGAGTCCCGCATCGGACTCCCTGCTCGGCCTGACCCTCCTCCCTCTCATGCTCTCTGTCTCTCATTCTCTCTGTCTCAAATAAATAAATAAAATCTTTAAAAAAAATATTGATAGTTAGGTCTAAAAGGACAGATATCAGCAAGCTTCTTCTATAAAGGGCCAGGTAGCAAACATTTTTGGCTTTGTGGCCTTACAGCTTCTGTCACAACTCAACTCTGACATTGTAGCATGAAAGCAGCCATAGGTAATCCATCGATGAACGGGTGTGGTTGTGTTCCAATAAAACTTTATTAACAAAAACAGGAAAATCCCTGGATTTGGACTGCATGCTATACTTTGCCAACCCACAGCCTAAAGACTGGATTAGATTTCAGTTAGACTGATTTGTTAATAATTCTTTATTTACTAAAAATGGGATGTTGTAATTTCATGACATATCAGGAGATACATAAAGTCAGTTTGCCCACCACTGATGATATTAAATTTCATCATTAGTTTCAGATGGTGGCTGTCAGATCTCCATGTTGCAAATGCATACTTTGTCCCTTGTAATTAATTGGTAGTCTGTGAGGTGATTCTTTGGCACTGTGGTCCCAGCCTGTTCTCCAAAGCTTTTTACTCAGTGCTCGTAGTGGCCATTTATGGGATATTAAAAGAATCATGCTCTTCTAATTCTGTTGTATTTTCTACATCTATTAGATGATCTTTTAAAGTATCAGTATGGACTCATGGATATGCTTATTTAAAACATTATAATCATGTACAGTCATTTTCCTTGATGTTCAAATTGATACAGAATTGGTTAGAGGGAGCCCTCAGGGAGTTTCTTGTAGGTGTAACTGCTCTGGATTTAGATCTTGCTTAGACTGCATGAGGGTGAAATAATGTTATCTATAAATACATCTCACAAAATGTGCAGTAGCCATATACACCTTTTTCCACAACTCAACTTATAAAACATAAAGATGCAGAAACTCTAGTCCCATAGCTCTGATTTTACTCTGATGAAACTTACCCCCCCCACTTTTAAATTCTGTGAAATCAGGAATTGGATCTTCTTGATCTGTTCCCAGTACATATTTTTGTATTTTTTTAAGATTTTATTTATTTATTCATGAGAGATAGAGAGAGAGAGAGAAGCAGAGGGAGAAGCAGGCCCCCAAGGACCAGGGAGCCCAATGTGGGACTCGATCCCAGGACCCTGGGATCATGACCTGAGCCGAAGGCAGACGTTTAACCATCTGAGCCACCCAGACGCCCCCCAGTACATATTTTTGAAATGAATAAATTAGTAAGTCTTTAGAAATGGAGAGTGAAGAAGTTGAGGCATGTATATATGTATGAAGACCAACTGGTCTACTTTGCCTGTAACCAAAATGTTTTCTGGGATGTAATACTTTAATACTATACTAATACTAATAAAACCAGGAAAGTCTTGAGAAACTGTGATTTGTTGTTTATACTACGTGCAGGTATGTGAATATTACTTTCCTCTCTGATGCTATTTTAGGAAAGTCCTTTGAGGCTGGTTTTCCTTGTTATGTATCATCAACCTGAGGAAGAATTTTTGTAGACGAGGCTTCTACTGGGGTATTGGGTCATAGCTCCTGATTATACTGGGAGTGAGATGAGAATGTTGTATGCACCAGAAAACCAAAAGTCTCCAGCAACTGAATGTCAAACATTTACTGCTTACTTTCTCCCACAGTGGTGCCAAGAAGAGTTATTTGTAATAAACATGAAAAAGCATTTTTTAATACTCTTTGCCCAAAGGATGACAGAGAGTGTTTTCTTCATTTCCTAAGAGACAAGTTCGTCAGGCTTAGCTCTTCATTATAATTCTCCTAAGAAGGAAGGTGCAAACATGATTTTGTGTTAGAAGGTGCAAGATGTGTACACAGAAAAGTACAAAATATTGTCAAGAGAAGCCTAAGAAGAGAAAGGTTTTGTAAACCTGAACATACAAATGCTAGCTACAATTCACATTGCCAGAATCTCTCCTCTGCCTTCTGTGATTCCCAATGAGGTTTTGCAGTGTTTGTGCATTTGGAACTACTAGGAATGATTGCAGACTTTGAAAAGTCTCCAATCCAACTTAATACTTACTTTACTTTCCTTTTATGACTATATATACACGTATTTATTGTTCATCATATACAGGGATGGCATGGAATGACTAGGGATAAAGGATGTGCGGTGACTGTGCGGCTTGTGCATCAGTGCTACAGATCATTATTCCTGATTACTTGGTCGATCACAGCATCGTTCTCTGCTTATGAGTATTTTGTATCTTGGCCCTAAATACAATTAAAAAGGGGTTGCACCCATGTCACACAAAGTGGGTGCTCTACAATTGTGGAGAAAGAGGACAGTCATATGCAAGGGTCAACGAGAGCATAAAAAGTGAGTGAAAGTATAGGAAGACCTCCTTTCAAGACAGGGAAGTGCCTTCAGGTGAGTTCAGGTGAAAACCAAGGGTGAGCCATTCTAGGGCATCAACTGCTATATACCCAGGTTGTTCAATGAGATAGGTACGAGCTTCTCAAGAGGGCTGGTTAGTGAAGTGCTCTGGGAGCACTGCATAATCTTACCACGCTGTGTTTGGAGGCATCAGACATGGTCCCACTTGAGAGAGTATACTTCTCAGACTCGGCTTTGGTTTTCCTGACCCCTTTGAACCATTTCTTGTATTGTTCCCGGACCTGCAGAGGCAAAGCATGCTTGGGTCAGCTCACTGAAGGGAGTAAGGATGGTAGGAGGACCGGGTGGAAGTCAGGCAGTGGTACCTGTTGGCTGAGGAGGCAGTACACCAGGAAGATGAAGACGCCCTGCAGGCTGTTGATGATGGTGAAGAGGTAAGCCATGACATGGGCAGCTGGACCCACCTGCAGGATGCCCAGGCACCACGTGCAGCCCAAGATGAGCAGCTGAGCTGTGGCTTTAAATGTCAGCATCCTGGGTAGGAGGAGAAAGGAGGTCATGATGCACCCAGAGCAACACAACCAGGGCTGGTTTCATGTCCACTCCATGGATGCTTCTGACTGAGTTGTGATCAACTTTGATCTTTATTGTCAATGATTCCCTAAAGAGAAACACTATTTGGGTCCAGGATGGCATTTTGACTAGGACTGAGGATAATGGTGACACTTGAGAATGTGAGTTTCAAAAAGATCATGATGTTTCATGAAGATCCCGAATTTGTTCAGCTGACATTACTGAGAATGTTCTGTGCACCGGGCTCTAGGCTGGGGCTAGGGCATTCAAAACAACAAAGACAAGACTTCTGTTTTTACAGACCTTAAAGTCTAGTGGAAAGACAAGAACAAAATGATCACTTATAACATTTGCGAAGTGAGGTACTTCTTTCCATCCAGGGCTGTTCCTTTCCTCACCCTCTCCATGAACTGAACCAGGCATGCTTTGCCCAGAATAGAGGCCATTAATTCTGTGCAAAGTTGAGGAAAGCAGAGGACATCCCCAAACTGTTAGATGATGTGATATGTGGATGTTGAAGCTGAGTTCACCAGGTGCAAGGGAAGGGGAAGGCAGAGGGCAGAGCATGCATGAAGGCATGGGCATGATGGGGTATGCTGGTTCTGGGAACTGTTGTGTGATTTCCTGCATGTGTTATAAGTATGTGAATGTTCTCAGGACCTTTTTCATAGGGCCATGGTAGCAATCCCTGCTTATCAGAATGAAGCCCATTTTCTCTGCAGCTGAAGCAGTTTGTTGTTGGGGTTGTTCATGGGTGGAATGTTTTTTGGCATGTGTGTCAGCAGCAAACCACAGAATCTGAGCTGGCTGCCAAAGAGGGTGGCTGCACCTCTCTCTTCCAGGCCCCCCCAGGAGCACCGTGAAGGGACACTAGAGCCTTGGAGGCATGAAGATAATGTTCTGTGTAGGGGGTGGTGTGCACCTGTGACCCATCCTCACCTTGTGTTCTGGAGGGAGGACACATCTCTGTTGATGGAAGAGAGCTTGGTTTTCACAATCCAGAAGGTCATCAGAAAGAAAGCCAAATTAATCTGCAGAAAACCCACAGGTATATTAACTACACTCCACATCTGGCAAACCTTCGTCCTAGCTCATCCAGCTCCTAATCTGGCAGGGAAGAAGCTTTTGTGTTTTGTAACAGTCCTAGAAAAGCAAACCAAACACCCAGTAACTCAGGCCCATGTTTGCCCTGTAACATCGGTAACCACTTCAATTCAGTGCGTGGGAATTACAAATGTTAGCACTGAAAGTACCATGTCTCAGGAAACACCTTAGTCCTGGTTTTACAATGGGAATTCCCACCTCCTGGGAGCCCCTCATCAGTCCTGGGCCAACTGGAATGACTGCTCACCCTGCCTGTCACCCTCCTGATATACCTGATCTTTGAATAACCCTCAGCTGGGCAGGTGGGTTGCTCTGATGTCATCCATTACTCACGGAGAAAATTGTGCAGATAGGGCCAAGGAAGGTCCATATGAATCCTTTGTCTGTGTGGAGCCAGCATCTTAGAGAGAGATGGGAAGAGATTCAAGAAAATATTGGCTTTCATAGACAAAGGACTGATAAATAAACATACCCCTCCCCTCCTAATGTTTCCTTCTGCCTTCATCATTATTATCATTTTTTTTGTTAAAACATTTAACATACCCTCCTAGTAAATTTTAAGTATAGAATACACTATTGTTAGCTATATGCACTATGTAATATAGATCTCCTAAACTTATTTATTTTGCAGAACTACAACTTTGTATATGCCTTTGATGGTGGCAGTGGTTTCATGGGTATTAGCCCCAAACTCATCAGGTTTTGTACATTAATTACATATGGTATTTTACATGTCAATCACACCTTACTCAAGTGGTCTTTAAAAAAAGATAAGTTCCTTTCAAAAAGCTCTTCTGTGTCTTGGCCCCCAGATATGCTGGCAGAAATAAATATAATTTTTAAAAAGAAAATAACGGTATTGATCAGTAAATTAATTTATGGGTTTTTTTGGATAAGTATTGAGTGTCTCCTCTGTGTCAGGATCTGTGCTTGGCTCTGAAGACCCAGTTGGGATTAGGGTAGAGTGGTCTCTGTCTTCAGGGAGACACAGATGAAGTTGGTGGATCAACAATTAGACAATAGACAAAGTCAAGATGATGAATTTTATGACCAAGTATGAGGAGCTTTGAGGATATGTAGCTGGATCCATAACCTAATCCAGGGTATAGGAGATCCAGATAATTGGGAAGAGTTTCCCTGAAAGAACTGAATTGTGTTTAAGCTGAAATAATGAGTGATGAGTGGGTGTAGACAGGTGAAAGTTTTGGACCATCCAAGAAGTGAGTGAAAAAACCCAAATGAAACAAAACAATGAGCCTGCCCCAGCAGTAAGGCTCACGTGCATTACATAACTTATTCCTCATGAGGACACAGGTATTCACACACTCACAGGTCAGGCATCTCAAGGCCGCACTGAGAGCAATGACAGAGATGGACTTTATCTCCAGGGAGGGGAGCTGTGAGTGAGGTGGGAGGTGTGAGGACTGGGGAGAAGGTCAGAAGGACCCAGCAGGAAGCATCAAAGGGAAACTTCGAAGGTAGGCATTGGCAAAGCAGGAGGCTGCCGCCTGCTCTTATGAGTGGGTTTTACTGGAACACACACTCATTCCCTCCCAAATTGTCTGTGGCTCTGTTTGTGCTCTGAGGACAGAGCTGAGTAGTTGCGGCAGAGACCATAAGACCAAGAAAGTTGGAAATATTGATTATCTGGCCCTTTATGGAAAAAGTTCATTGACCTTTATGCTCAACTCCTTAGGGAGGCCAGCTGGCCAGGGCTCCCTGTTGCAGCTGAGTAACTCATGTCATCAGGATAGGCGTATGGTGTGAGCGCCAGACTGGAAGTGACCCCCGCTCCGCCACCAACCAGCTGTGTGACCTTGGCCACGTTAGTTAATCTCCTTGTTCCTCATCTGTAATATGGCCCAATACTAGTTTCTACTGCATAGGTTGTTGGGGGGATGATTTGAGCTGACACGTGAAAAATATTTAGAACAGTGATTGTACATCAGAAGTGATTTCTAAATCTTAGCTGTGGTTACAGTTATTTTGTCATCCAAATGACCCTTTGTTTCTTTTAAAATTAGGATAGAGAAAGAGTTTACACAAATTAATGCCATCATTTCAGTTTTGCTTTCTGGAAGATTTAAAACTGTCCCCTCAATTGATGCAATGAATACTATATTAATATATATTTGCTAATACATATGATGCTATATATATTATGGACTATAGTCATTAATACAATATAGTTATTAACATAATATACCCTTAATATTTAAAATAATTAAATCTAAAATATTAAGAAGTAACCTCATTTATCTTAACTAGATTAATTTGTAATTATTAAACATCAATATTAGTGTATAGTTATTAACATAATGCACTTTATTATTTAAATAGATAATTATTAACATACATTATAATTAACATTTAAAAAACCCACAGCGAATATCATCCTCAATGGGGAAAAGCTGAGAGCCTTTCCCTTAAGATCAGGAACACGTCAAGGATACCCACTCTTGCCCATTCTCACCACTGTTGTTCAACATAGTACTAGAAGTCCTAGCAACAGCAATCAGACAATGAAAAGAAATAAAAGGTATTCAAATTGGCAAAGAAGAAGTCAAACTCTCTCTTTTCGCAGACGACATGATACTCTATGTGGAAAACCCAAAAGACT